CTGAGGTAGTCAGACCCATTCTCTCAGAGCTCTGGTGATGGAGACAGGACACTGGGCTAGAGGGGCTTCTGCAAGATTAGGCCCCTTCTGCTGCCTCTAATATCCTCAGCTTCAATTCATACTGCATCTTGAACTCATTAGCTGAGTTATTGGCAGCCTCATCCAGAAAGTTAAGCACCAGATGTACCCTCAAGATGTGCCTTCCTTGTCTCACACACACAGGCAGCAATCTGTGACAGCCAGGACAGATAAGCCCAGGGGTCTGCATCCCTGTTCAAACAGTAGCCTGTCCTTAGACAACAGGAAGACCAAACAGTGGGACTCCATCAAGAACATGTTAACATTAAAGACACCTGTAAACCTTTCCTTCTCAAAACTGAAACCTCCTGAGCCTTTGTGAAGACTTTTTCTGGAGGTCATAGTTGCTTGCAATAGGTATGGCTCTATAAAATATAAACTCTTTACCTGCATGCAGCCCTGCAGAGAAGTGAATGTACTAGGGAGATGGTGCGGTTTCCCTGGGGAGTGTGTGGTCTGAAGGCCTCCGTTCCCCTTGCGCGCAAACCTGCTCTGCGGGGGCTCTCACCTCTCATGTCTCTGCTCTGCTCTGTGGGGCAGAAAGGGTCTGTGTTTCCCAGCCTCACAAGCTGCAGGGGAACAAATGCTATGCAGCAGAGTGCTCTTGAGGTGCTGGGCTGCTGTCAAGGTGAAGGCTGCCATTTATGGCAAGTAGAAGGGAAAAGAGCAATCTGGAAAGGGCTGGTGATTACTAGCTTATTAGTGTTGTGAATTTAAGTGTGTGGTAAACATGTCCCTTACATGGTTCACTAAGAGTATAAATGATGAGCGTAGCCTCCTTTTTTTTTTGTTTTTTCTAGTTGTCCTTAGAACAGGGTTTGCAGGATCCAGTGTATAACTCAAGGCCAACACACAGAGGCAGGAAGGGGGCCTGACCCAGAAAGGTGGGGAAAATATGGGTGGGCATGTATGGAAAGGGAGAATACTTGCTCCCCTCAACCTACCCTCATCTCCAAGCCTGAAAATTCACAATTCTTGGCACACTTTGAGGTAGAGCAGGTTAGAGTTTGCTGAAAAGTTGTTTGTTCCTTTCTTAGCTAACAGAAACCTGCCTCTTTTGCTGAACCTCCTTTTCCTGGTGCAGCTGCGGAGCAGGGATGTGAGGGAGCTGGACAGCACAGACTTCAGGCTGCTTCACCAGGGTGAGTCTGCACATCCATCTTCTTTCACAGGGCTTTGGTCTGTGTTCATTAGTTGTTCCATATGATGATGAGGGGCTGACTCTCCACCTTTTGGGAGAATGTGTACCTTGCATTACATTTATGGTTGCTTTAAGGTACTTTCATAGCCAGAGTGGTGCAGAGAGCCCTTGTTACCAGTTCAGGCAACGAAATCCAGGTTCTTCACCTCTTGCTTTTCCAATACATTTGTTGTCTGAAACCTCAAAAGGTGGTCAAAGTTTTCTCATGGCCATGACACAGTTTCAAAGCATGTGACTGTCATTGACTTGGCACGTGATGATATTGCTGATGCACGTGATGATATTGCTGATCCTTAGGCATCCTTCCTGAGGTAACTCTTCTCTGATGAGGCCTACATGAAACCAGCTCATAGATGGGAGGGATATGGGGAAGGCATGTTCATGTGGTTTTTGAGAATTGCTTACTCAGACTTTCAGCTCTTCAAACAATCTCCTACAACAGTTCTACTGAGCCCTACAGACCTGGATTTCCCTCCCAAACTCTCTTGCTAAACACTGTTCCTAAATGTTTGGTGCTTACAACAAGCATGGTGAGTTTATTACTAATGAGGGGAGAATATGTGAGAGTGGAGGAGCACAGTTCTCCATGCCGTTCCCAGACTGGCCATCTACGACTTCAGACGGGCGCACGGGTGCCTATAGCCGATGCAGCATTAGAGTATTAGAGTCAAGCTCTGCCTATGGAAACGGGTAGCTTATCTCAGAGTCCATTTCTCTTGGAGTTGTTACTGCCCAGTGTGATGTATTCCCGTTAATAAACCCTTTTCTGCTTTGTTTTTTGCTGTAAACGTATTCCAGTGCAGTGTGTCTAGTGTAAAGTAGACACTCTGCAGCAGAGGCCTGTTGCTTTGTCTGGTCTGTTTAGTTTCATTTCAAGTTGTGCTATTCATGTCTGAATTCTGCCCCCACTGACTGACCTCTTTCTTGTGCTGAGGTGCTCTGTCATGTTGGTGTCTTTGTTACATACATGCTTTTGTTTCCAGTCAGTAACCTCTGCGGGAAATGCACACCGAAGGACACTGACCTCCTGCAGCCATCCTTGAATTTCTTGTACTGGAGCCTTCATCAAACAACACCTAGCAGTCAACAGAGAGGTGAGACAGGATGGTGTTGATTGCTGAGCTATTTTCGGTGAGACTGTAGGTTGGCCATCACAGATTGTGTTCTTACTCTCTCAGCAGGTAAGGTAGATTTCCCCCCTTCAGATGCAACATTACAGTTAACAAAGAACATTTTGTATTTGGGATGAATTTTTTAGGTTGTTGTGTTTGCTTTGTTTTGTTTTGTTTTTGCTGCCTTCTGATGACTGAGAGACTGCTGCTGTTTGGCTGCTGAGAGACAGAATCACTGTATTTTTCTTGTTCATAAAACACAGCAGTTGGGCTTTGGTGCCTTGTTGAAATGTCCTTGTATTGCCATGGCTCAAAAAATTAAACTATAACAGAGGCAGATAGGAGCTCTAACCAACCTCCCAGCTGTGTTAGCCGAACACTGGTCGTTTTATTAGCTGGCCTAGCAGTCACTCATGCTGTGGGAGATGAATACCAGCACAGGTGGACAGCCTTATTCTGATGAGCTGTGGCCCTTGGGGCTGCCTTACTGCAGCAGGGGTGTGCTCTGCACTTCCCTTCTGCTTGTCAAGCTGGTTTAACCTGTGCCATACCATCAGCCTCTCCGATTTTGTTTCTCCTACCCAGCTGTGGCTGTGCTGCTCTCCAACGTGTCCTTGCTAGAGCTCCTGCAGAAGGTTTTGCAGTGCACCTGGTTGTGGTCCTCTCCCTCTGAACCTGCTTACCTATCATCTGAAGATGCCTTACTCTGCTCTGGGTGGTTGTTGGCTGCTTCCCTCTTAATTTATCAGCATCGTTACAATGCTGAGGTGAGAATAACTCTTGCAATTGGGTCCAGGGAATGGCTAAACCTAAAAAAAAAATCTCCATTAGCAGGGGGAAATGGTTTGCATTGACCTGGAATCTGCTCCACCCTGATAGCTTTTTCATTATTGTCTACAAGTTATTCCTTGCTGCACTTCTCCAGAGGCTGGAAGCTAGCATGCTGCTGAAGGCTGAGATGTGAATCATTGGAGAGCTGCGGAGGGGGACAAAAGTCCTGGGAAAGAAAAGCATACTCAGCCCACTTTCCTCTCCAGGACAGAACAAAATACTTTTAAAGGTGTTTCTGAATGGAAGGCTAGCAGTGGGAGGAACAGCTCCCACTGTTCCATGTTACAACACTGTTCCCATGTTACAAAATGCTTTGTTGGTAGTAACATGATCAGCAGTGGGACAGTCACCAAATCAGTCATCAAAACAGTCTCCAAATCTGTTATTGGCAAATAAGCGCTCCATATTAACAGAGCTGATATGAATGTGGGCAGCTGTCATTGTATTTGATGCTTTGCAGTCCAACAAGAGAGCTGAGCTGGAGTTGTCAGCTGCTATTGGAATTACAAGTGAGAGGGAATGGAGCACTTTCTAATGCCAACACAAGGGGATGACGTTCCCTTCAAGTATCTACCCTTACCTCTCTCTCCTCTCCTGAAATGAAGTTAAACAACATGGCTTGAATTCTGAGCTCTGTTCCTGCAGTTGTGCCTGGCTGAGTAGGTTCTTTACGAGTCAGTGTACCTGTTCTTGGATGATAAAATCATATTAAGGGCATGTGTGCATCTGCACAGATAGGCAAGGACTGGTTTTCTAATGCTGTGGGAGGATTTTTTACAAAAGGCTAGACCAGATCAAGACTATACCTGTTGCTTTATGGGTGTGCATGGTTAATTCTTACAGCACCGGGCTTGTATGGACTAACAGCTGTGTGTAGGGAGACCTGCCTGTTTCTGCTCTATTAACGTTATGCACAGACAATTTACCTTTTTAGTTTACAAGTCAGGGCTGTGTCTGGGTGGTCAGTGTCGTGCCAGTTCCCAAAGGGGCTCAATTCTAGCAGCTATATTGAGTTTCATCTTCTGGGAGTGACTTTCTCAGCTCCTATTGATCCTTGAAGTGCAATCCTTTAATCACTTATAAGTGTTGTTTAGTTTCATCGATACCCTATTGCCCTGATGCACTGTGACATAAAATCCAGAATCCTTCTCGCACCAGAGGTATGGAAAGAAACTACAGATGCAGGTGGCAAATGGGAGCAGTCCCAGGATGCTTCAGTGTTTCTAAGCTTCAGCATTTCTAAGCTTCCGTGTTTCTAATCACCTGCTGAGCGGGAAGGAGAGTGGATAGGATGTAGAGTCACTTTTGTTGCTGCTTGGTATTGCTGATGCTGCACAAAGCCTCCCCGGAGGCCCTTGCTGAGAGCCTTTGGCCTTTGTGGCTGTGCATGTGGACTGATGCCAGGCTGTCTCCCAGAGCTTGCAGTTATTTAGAGGGGAACAATGGCTCCGAGAAGTGTGAGCTGCCTGCATTAATCTCAGGCTGGTGTTAATAATGAGGACTTGTCTGCCCAAAGCAAGCTTGTGCCTTAACTGTGTTATTGCTGGTGGCTTTAGCAGGAGCCAGTAGCTGCTTGGGGCTGTGGATAAGCCTGGGACATGGGTTGGAGGCTATTAAAGACTTAGTGCTTAGACACGTAACCACTGCTTCCCCTGTTGCACTCATGGGGTATTCCCAGCTCTCCTGTTGAACATTTCTCTTCAGAAGACAGTTTGAAGGAAGAAGCCCTGTGATCCTTGTGCCTGCCCTCCCATGCCAACTCTCTGCCTTGCTGAAGAGCAAGTTCGACCCCTCCTGGGGCTCTGTGAAACTTCATGCCATTCCCTGCTGAATGGCTGCTCCCTGAGGAAAACAGTGTATTGCAGACTCCCTTCTCAAGCCCACCTTTCCTGTTTCCCCTAGTCCCCTAGGTGAGGGACTTCCGTAACCTCCTCTGCCTCCCTCACCCGCGCCTGCTTGTGCTCACCTTTAAAGTAGCTCCAAGCCCTGGGCTCTCTGTGGGCTTCCCAACTGAAGCAGACAGGACCAGCTGTTTGTTGTCACTGTTGCTTTTTGGCTGCCCGGCTAATCAGTCTTGCTGACTGGTCTAAGGTGGTTAAGGTAAAGCAGTCTTCGGTATGGCTGTTCCTAGTACTCCACATGCTCAGCAGTCTGCCAGCCATATGCCAGAGGGCATGCAGGGAGGTGTGAGAGTGAGACAGGCTAATGAGATTTCACTGTGGGTTGGAAGCTGTGCAGGGCTGGTAGATGGTAATGAGTGAAACTTGAGGCCCCAGTTATGTGACTTTCCTTTCTGGATCAGAGTGCTGAAACCTTGTTGCTGTTCCATTGTTTTTCAGAGTATCATCATGGGATAGTGCCTAAGGACTGAAAGTATATAAGGAAGCAGTTTTTTACCAGGTCAGACCAGCACCATTTTTTCTCTTATATTTCATTCTCCTCTAGGTTCACCAGACGCTCTCTGTAGACCTACCAGAAGTCCTGAATGCAATCATCTTCAGGAAGAAGAAGCCCATCCTGCTGCTAGGTATTTGGTGTCTGTTATGGGGATGTGACTTGAAGCAGGTGCTAGTACCAGGTTAAAGGAGGGGGAAGGCTCTAAGGGCAAAGTGTCTACGGGATGGGGCCGTGGAGGTGATGGTGGGGATCTGGAAGCTTTGGTACATTTGGCTTTGGGAGTACATACTTGGTGCTGAGGAAGAGCAAAAGAGATAAAAGGACGGATAAATTATCTTGGGGGTGAGCGGTGACATCTGGAACTGAGCATGAAATAGGTCTCAGCATCTCAGAGTGGGAGATGAGCAAGGGAACTTCTTGTCATTCCTACCTGCATCTATCTGCTGTGCCTCTCCAGTGGGCCCTTAAGCTTGAATTTTCTCTCCGCACATCTCCCAGGCTATGGCATAGGCACCAGCACACAGGGCAGGGGAGAGGAAAACACTGGTATTTACTTATGAGTGGCTCTCTGTCTAGTGAGCATCCTGCAGTTCCTGAGAGCTATCCTGCGACAGAACTTCTCCTCCTCTCTGCTGGTGACTGTCATCCAAACCACAGCCCAAGGTGTGAGGGAACCACAGCTGTCATCTGTGGAGGATGCTGCCCTGCACCCCCTTGCTGTGCAGCAGGTCTTCTCACTTGTTGTCAGCCTGCAGAACCTCCTGGTGCACGTCCACTTGCAGGTATATAAAATAATGCTTTTGGAACACACTACTGCTGCTGTGGTTCAAACACTTACATTAACCTGAGGAGAAACCACCCTGCAGCAGGACCCAGGGATCTGCCTTTTTTTCTTCCCCCTGTTTTTTCCACCCCTTACAGACCTGTGATGAGGAGGAGGGGAAATGCTCTTGCTGCAGTGTATGCAGCATGGTGCAGTGTCTAAGAAGGTAAATCAAGCTATTTAGTTCTTCCTGCTGCTGAACTAGGCAGCTTAAATTCTGTGTACTAGCCACGATCCCTGTTATCCCACCTTCTGTGCTCTTCAGGGCCCCCACACCCATGGGGAGCTGGTAAGAATGTATAGGTATCAAACCCTTCCCCCACAGCCCTAGCAAGCTGCTTTGGGGAATAGTTCATCAGTTCACATTTAACTGTCTGGAGTGACATTGGCTTCCCGCATTTATTCTTTGGAGACTGTTGCTTACTTTTATAGTCAGAATAAGTCCTGCCTTTGTCTGACTCCTTGACGTGATGGATTATTTTATATGTTGCATCCCATGAAGGAGATGAAGGGTGTTATTTTCCTGTGCTGCACATTCTTCAGAGCCTGCCACTTTCTGAATTTTCTTCTTGCAATAGCTGTTGCTTGTGTTCTTGTTTTTGTTTTTCCTCCTGGCATTCCAGAAAGACTTGCTGCTCTCTCAAGCTGTGGTTGCCTGCCTGGAAACCTTACTGGAGTACCTGTATGTGAAGAACCAGGATGTTGGTAAAGCCTTCCTGGCCCTCTTTTCTCCTGGGTCTCCCTCCTACAGTGATTTTGAGCTCTTTGAGCTCTTTGATCTCCATCCAGTAGGGCCCTGGAGCAGATGCTTAATGAGTTATGCCCAATATGAAAAATGATTTGTATGTCTAAAGTTAGTCATGTGCTCTGTGGGATGAGATCACAATGCCTGCCTCCCTTGAAGGAGTGAGCCCTCACCTTGGCTCTGGATGCCAAGATGCTTTCCAGAACAAAGAAAAAGACACTACCACCCTCCACCCCAATCTCTTAGAATGAAAGGTTTAGGAACTGAGATGGAGGAGGGAATACACTGCCTTTTCCTTCCAAGCCAATTGTAGCAAACCTTTAGACCATAAAGATAGAGGAGGGAGGACTCACTTAGTCAGCCTTAGGGAATGGAAGCTGGAAATTCTAGATTTCCAGGGGCAAATGCAGACCTTGGTTTCAAGAGTCCACGTCAGACTTAATGTATTCCATGTTAGCAGTATAACATAATATGACAGTGCCATGCAGTCAGGGTGGAAGAGTAGACCCTTCCACTCATTGTCAGCCTCCTGGCACAAAGTACAGGTGTTGGCTCTGATCTTAAAACAGAAAAAGAGTTCTCTGTACTCTGACCCATTCAAATCAGTCACATAAACATTAAGAGAGAAGGGGACGGAGTGAATGAACACCAGACAAAAGGGACATTGTTGGGAGAGACGAAGTTGGTGAATGAAAATGTAATACTGCAGATGAATGACAGCCAGTAGCTGTAGGGAGTCTGATAAAAGGCCTTGTTAAAGGGGAAAAAAAAAGTGTCAGGGTATGGGGACGTTCTACTGATTTAGGGTAAAGCTGAAAAAATGCCATGTCAGCAACAGCTGAACCCTTGACTTTGACTGCCTAAATTCTTATTGCGATGCAGAAGTTAACAAGAGCAGTAACAAGAGTCTCTTTATTCTGAGTGGAATGAGGATCGTGGATTTGTTTGACTGAAAGAAACAACAGCATTGCAAAGAGTGTGGCCTGGACTCTGCCTGTAGAAGTGTCCTCATTTGAGGGTCTTTAAAAGCCTTTGTTGATCTAGAGATTTTTCCAGGTTTGCAGAGCAGGCTCGGTACACAGTGCCGGTACCGTCTTATTTCCACCAGCTAAAGGATACCTCCCCAAAACTTTACGTGATTTGTTAGTGCTGCTTTTCCATAGAAGAGATTGTCATAATGGCAGGGGGGTGGTTATGTGATTGCCAGTGGAAAAGTGACCTTTCCAAAACAAAAGGCCTCAAACCTGGTGGTGAGTTGCCATGGTGTAACAAGTTCTCTCATACCAGCTCACCTGCTGTAATTGTCCATCACATGTTCTTAACCTGCAGCAAATACAAGGTGATACAACTTAAGTTAGCATTCAGTGAGAGATTTCATGCTGTCACATCCAGTGGCCTTGAACCTTACCTCTTTATATCATCTGTGGTTCTTACTAAGAACCTTTTCTCTACTGATTGTTTGTATTGCTGCCATCAGCCAGGCTTATCCCCATGGTATGCTCTCTGATGCAGATCCAGTCTCAGTTTGGGGAGCGCATGTTATAGGGCTTCCTTCTTCTCCCAAAGAGCATTCGGCAGCAAAATGAACCCCCTGGTCAGGAAACACGTCCTCATATTGAAACCAGAGTTGTGGGTTTAAAAAAGAAAAAAAAAAGTGGGCTAAAAATATGCCCTTATTCTTTTATGACTCCAGAAGAAGGTTTCTCTTCCTGTAAAAGCATAAAGGTGGACAGAACATATTTCCTGCTTTAAAAAGCTATGAAGCTTTTGTCCTCATGACTGGACTCTTGCCCAAAGAATGATAGATTTAAAAGCAAGTAAGAGCACAGCAAAATATCTTGTTGGCATTTTACAGCTTGGGGTCTAAGAGAGAAAAACTGTGGTCAGTTTGGAAGACTGTCCTTATCTGGGTCCAGTCTATCTCCTAGCAGATTTTAAAGCTGTTTTTGAATGGATTCTCCTTCTCTTCCAGCACTACATGTTGCCTCCCAGCCGTGGCACCGGTTCCTGCTCTTCACGCTACTTAGTGGCGGACGGAAGTCCTTTCTGCAGCCAGAAATTCTCAGGCTCATTACTTTGGTGAGCAGGGGAAGGATAGGCTGTTCTACATTTCTGCAAGGATGTTGGTATAGTGCATCTGGGTTGGCCATTGGAAAGTACGTCATCCACTTACCTTCTACACACACACAGAGTCTTAGACACTGCTGTCACTTTGTGACTATACTCATGTGCCCTAGTAATACTTTCAAGCAAACTTCCCTTCCGCACCCCTCAGAAAGTGACTGCTCTGAGTGAGCACTTGCTGTTCTTCTGATGTTTCTAGCATTTATTGCCATCATCTAGCATGCCTGGGGTGGAGAGGGGAAGGCTACAGTGAACGTGCAACCACTGTTGCCAGTCTGGGAGCATGCTATGGTTCTTTGAAGAACAGAGCTCTTCTTGGCATCACAGCTTCTCTCCCACTCTTTTAACCTTATGGACCTGACATTTCAGGTCAGGGAATTACCACAATCCACTACTCAGCTGTGTGTGGGGAGGCCTGGCAGCAAGACAGTGATTGTGGTCATGCCCAGCAGAAACACTCAAGATAAAGCTCTCATGGCAGTGGATGAGAGGAAGAGGTTATTAATATGCACCTTCTCCTTCCAAATACATGATGGGTCTGTGAGCCTTTGTTATTATTATTTCACTTTTAAGAGGTGGCCTGGTTCCGTTCAGTTCCTTCCTAACCTAAACCAAAATAAGCCTAGTTATAAGTCAGAACAACGTCAGTATGGGTATTTGCACCAGTTCTATAAAAGCGGTGTGAAAATCAGGCCAGTTATTTGGGTGCTGCAGCCTCTCTTTACAAAAGAGGAGGCCTTTCCGGGAGAGGGGTCACTTTTTGGAGTCTGTGGGTTGTTCACTACTTAATGCCTTTCTTTTGCCTGTTGTTCAAGTTTGTGAGATACCAGAGCAGCAATATTATTTCTCAAAAAGAAATAAGCCAGATTCTCCAGGAGGCAGCAGAAGCCAAGTTATCAGAGCTGCCTGAGGCCACGTGTCGTGCTCTTCATCTCTTTCTTCGTCAGGTAAGAGTGCAGTGGCTGCCTAGGAAAATGAGAACGGAGTTTCCTAGAGGATTGCTTCAGCCTTTGTTGGGGAGCCATAAACTTCCTTTGAGGAGGTTATAGTAAGGTGATGGGAAATCCTGCAGGTGCTAGCTTGGCCTGCCACTGTGAGGGACGGATGGTGGAATGGGAAAGTGAGTGAGGCCAGCAGCTTCCTAAATTGTGTCATTAGTATTGTCATGGGCCCCTTGATTTCCCCCAGAGTAGAATTTGAAGGTTTCATTGCTGTGTGTGGAGATGAGGGAGGGAGGTGTGAAGGAACAAACCCAATAGTCTGCTGCTGATCTGGAAATCATTCCGTCTCGTGATGGCTCAGATTCAGAGCAGTCGTCGTCAGATGGAGCCAGTGCAGGCAGGGACTGTTCAGACCTTGCTGGAGAGCCTTCTGGGACAGACGAGGACTTGTGCAAAATATCAAGACATTGTGTATCCTTTTGCTGGGCAAATGCCTTGGATAGGTGATACGAAGGTGGTATGTGTAACAAAGAACCCGATTTTTTTCGTCTTGTCTTCTTCTTCTTTTCTTCTTCTTTTATTTTTCTCCATGCTTCTCCCCACTTTCCAGCTAAAGTTGAACAAAAGTGCAAGCGAAACACTCGTAGCGTTTACTATAGTTAGCTAGTTTTGGGACGAAAGGCTTACTGATGGTTCTCTGTACTGGGATTGTATTCATTTATATGACAGAGATGGTTTAATGAAAGGGGCACAGGCCTGGGAGCCTGTGACTTCAAAGCAGTAATTATTCCAATATTGATTTCTCTGGAAGATGAACAATCACTTAACCTCTGTCTGTGTGCTAACTAGTGTTGATATGTCTGTGCAGTCGTGCAAACCCAAAGATGACTTGAAAATTTTCAAAGCACAGGGAAAGAGCAAGCATTCGGAAAGCACTGAGTGGGGTTACCAAATTTTATTCTACTTGGCCTTAGTAGCAGAGTCACATGAGCCACGTGCAGGATTGGTGCCTGAGCGTTTTGTTACCTGCAAGAAACAGTTTGTCCTCAGGCTTACCCCCAGTGGGATACTACCACTCTGTGGAGGGAAGCTTAGGGTTATCTCAGAGTGGAAGTTCGCCAGCTGGAGATGTTCTTCCCAGCCCCATGAAATTCCTCTCCGCTGTCTTTGCATGTCTGTATGGGGAAGAAGGAAGGTGGATAGGAAGTCTTGTTACATTGCTGAAGTGGCCCCTTTTTTTTTGGCTTTTCCAGATACGAAGAAGCCTTCAAATCTTAGTTATTAGAAAGGGTTTTGAATGCACTTGAAGTGCAGCAGTGGTGGCTGCCTGAATAGGAGGGCCACAGACATGAAAGACAAAATCCTCTGGGCAAAATAAGCTTTAAGATCGGTTTTGCCCAGAACAAATTTTGCACGGCTTCAACCACACAAGTGTTTCTCGCATGTTTTGGTGGGATTGCCATGGTTTCAGGGAGGGCAGTTTTAGTGATGAACACCACCTCTCAGCAGTGTGCCAAAAATGGGAGTTCCAGTATCATGCTGGAGTTTCAGCCATGCTCTTCCCTTTGGTTTCCACTCATGGTGTCACCAACAGATGTCTGGGAAGTGTGGCAGTGTCCCTCTCACACATTGGAGACTGAAATGAGAAGATGCAGTTGGCGCATGCAGCAGAGGAACAAGAAGAGCGGCACAGGAGACCCCACCCTGCCCTTTATTCCCAATGAGTTGTAGAGAGAAAAAGGGCAAAAGAAGTCATCTCTAGCTCATTTTCAAAAAACGGTTTGTTGAAAATCAGATATAAAGCCCAGTTACTGAAGTGGCTCCTCTTTTGTTTTTCTGTGTGGGGAAGAGGCCTTTCCTCTGGACTTACAGGGGTGTTTGGGGGGCTCCAGCACAGGGAAGCAGCTGTGCAGCTTGTCCCACTGAGGAGAGGAGGCTGATGTCTGGAAAGCGGGCAGCGGAGCTGAGCTTTCCTCTAGGATACAACTCCGGCGGTGGCTTTTCCCCGGCTCCCCGCCGAGCTCAACCCCTTGCCTACACCAAGGGAGTTTCCTAGGACTTCTCCGGGCTCTGAGCGCAGGCTCTGCTCCAAGGTGGCAGGTGCGGCAGGTGCCCGGGCCCTGCCGCAGGCGGAGGGGGGAAGCTGACGCCGGGGGACGTTCATCTCACGGCGGCCAGGGGAAAAGCTCTCCCTCTCCGCGCCGCCGGGGCCCGGCGCCCCCTGCCCCCCGGCGCTCCCCTTCCCTCCCTTTTC